TTGAGGAGGAATTGTTCTAAAAAATGCCAATGATTAAAAATATGATTTTTAAATTTGCCGTCAATAATCTTGGTAGAGAAATAAACTAGAGTAAAAATCATTCATGATAATTTAGGATCATTATTGTAAATTTAATAATATAGCGAAAATCACCAAATGTATCACGAATGGAACACTTAAGCAAATCTCTTATTTAAAAGATTCTGTCCATTTCTTTCATTTTTTTTAAAAACCTCACTACTCATTAAAGGAAAAACATTAAAAAAACCTTTACCTATTCAGATCAATTGTAATCCAGAGGTGAGCTAGGGCGATTCGCAGCTAATGAGAGTTTAACGAGTGAGGATGGACCAAACCACTGCACTTAAAACTAGACCTACAATTTATAGTGGAATCCGAACTACTCCTTTGATAACATCTCTGTCTGTAGCCTACAAAGGAACGCTGTGAGCCTCATTTCCAGTACATATCGTTCGAAAAAGGACAAGTGAAAAATTTCCCATACCCAGTCTCGAACCTATGATCGCTGTGTCGGTATTGCAATGATAAGGTACTTAACCATTCCACTACTGAGCCACTTGAGATCGCGAAAAAAAATTAAAGCACCCGAAAATATACATTAAACCAGGAAGCATATCTATTTCCACAAAAAATTAGAAAGTTCGTACTTGAAACTCATAAAAAAATTCTCAATACAAAACTTATAAAAAGGACGAATCCATTACATTTATCATAAATGCCTTAAAAAGTCATATCCTAGCCCCATATGTCTGTTACATGCCAGTTCCATGTTAAATCATCAAATCCTCAAAAGACTTTATGGTATATTTTCCATATGTATATAGCAAATTTGACTCCATATGTGTACGACATTTCCAAATGTGAGAAGTTGTAAGCATAAAAAAATTAAAAAGTAGGAAAAAATAAAAATTTATAATTCCTTTTTTACTGCCTGGTTTGAACGTAAAATGAGAAAAGTTAAAAGAGTGTCAAACAAAATAAATATTGCACAAAGGCTTGTGACCAGCCACATTATTTTTTTTTTTTTGTCAAGCAGAAGTAAGTAAAATAAACGAATGATGTACGACGAATTTGTTAAAATGTTGTGTACAATTCTCAATTTGTGTTTGAGTTCTCCCCTTGAAATAAGATATTTTTTTCCAAAATGCTATGTACATTGAATGTTGAAATTCATTTTTATCGTCTTATTTACTCAACATTATATGAATACATACACACATCTTTACATGTAAACGCATTTCGTGTGTTACTCGTTCACTCTCTTTTTTCTCATTTTTGTTTCTGCTAAAAAGAAGTTTTTTTTTTTGTTGTGCTTACTCTAAAGCAGCAATGTGTTGTTTTGTGAATATATAGACTCAATGCTGCGTGTATATAAAGAAAAAGAGACGAAAACGAAAAGAAGAAAAATAAGCGGGAAAAAGCAAATAAACCCGCAAGTTGAGGTGCATTGCATGCTCGCCTTTATTATTAATTAATATTTTTAAATTTCAACTGGACTTGTAAATTTTTTGAATTTGAACATTTTAAAGCATATTTAATTTTTTTTAAATTTTTGTACCACGGACAGTCCGACAAAATTATGTTATCCTACTCTCAATTATTTTCACACATGCATGTTATTTCTTTATTTAGTTTTTATATTCTGCTTTTGTAAAATACGTAGTCACAAACACATGCACAACTTAATTTTTTTCATATTCGAATTGTTTTTCAAAGAATGGCTAATAGATTATTAAACTGTTTTGTAGGCTATTCTAGTTTCTTTTAGTCGAGGCTTTTTTTGGCAAAAAGCTAGCTGTTTGAATCCTCGGTATGGAATTATTGATTCAAGAAGTAGTAAATATGGCATGCATTTATACATGTTGGCCTTGTTAGTGCCTTTAAACAGTTTCATGAATTATTTATTTATGTTTAAATAAAATAGACATTTTAGTGTCATGCCTATATCACATGAAAATGAATTTATGTAACGAGAATAATATGATACCTAGCAGTAGCCTCAAGTGGCATCAAAATCACTCCTTAATAATTTTCTCTTTATCATGATCATCATGTAAATTCACCTGAGGATAAATAACATGGTCCAAGCTATGTATTGCTTCGTATGTATGTACATATTTATTATAATAATGAAAATATCGTTATTCAAGTTTCGAAGTCAAATCACCCTTATATACAATCGTAAATACATTGGTGCGGCTTTTAAAAGAACTGGACGAAAAAAAAAATGAAAAATAAATTTATATACAAAAAAAAGTTTATGTACTTTCTGCTGCAGACGATGAAACGATGAAGTAAAAAAAACCTTTTTTTCGATGAAAAAAAAAAATAAAAATACAAGAACGAAAAGGAAAATCTGAAAAGAAAAAAAATTACTCAATGCGAGACTATAAGTTGGATCGAAACAGAAAATAACATAAATGTTGTATGCGAGAGAGAGAATGAAACGAAAGAATATATAAATGAATTTTTTTTCTGTAGAAAAATGGTGGGGAAAATATCAACCAGCTGCGTTGTTTCCTTGTATATAAAATGCCAACTCCTATATACGTTTGAATGTATGTGTACGAAGACTTTTGAATGTTGAGCGGATTCGTAAAAATATATAATTTTCTACATTTTCTGTTCAGTTTCGTTTATGACGTTGTAGCGAACAGAACGTGAACGCAAGAGTGCGAATTTTTTTATTTAATTAATTTAATTAATAGATAGGATTCTGTTAATAAATTCAAACAACATACAAAAAATAATTAAATAATTTCGTCCTTATATTGTGAAATAAAATAGTGAAATTGAAATAATTTTGTGAATAAAAGTTTGATATTTTTCATATATACGATATTTGTTGTGTCTTGATACCTATCACGACTCAAGTTTTGTGAATGTATTAGTGCAGAGCAATTTTAGTTCTTTTTTTATTCCTATAAAATAAGCACTTTTTCTCTCTCTATCTCTCTCTCAAAAAAATAATATAAAGTGAAATATTCAGTTTTGTGGATTCAAAAAATAACAACATACAAGAGAGATATAACAGAAAAAAAAGTTGAAAGGAACCAACATAGAAGAGAGAGAGCACACATAACACATTTGAAATTCCCACATTGAATATACTATATTGAATAAAGGGGGTTATTTAGAAATATGTAAGAAGGAAAGAAGAGAAGAAAAATTATAAAAAAAAATAATTCAAAAAACGGAAATCTGCTTTTGAATAAACGTGTTTTTTTCGGCTTCGAGTACACAATATATAGTTTTTATTGGATTACTACATACATTTATCATATGGATACTAGTGGATTAAAACCTTATGGATTACACATTTTGGATTACTAATTAAGAATCTTATTAAAGGTATGCATTTTTTAATTAACATACATCATATTTACATAATTCTATCAAACACAGACAATCTACATTGTTTACATATCCATAAATCTTAAACTAATTAACTCGTCTGAATTAAAAGAAATTTCCATGAAAGCAAAATAATTTTCTTTGTTTTGTTTAAAAAATAATTTCAAATTCAATAACGAAATGCCGACAAGCGTGAAAGCAGCAGCAAGTATTTATTAAAGAAAAAAAAATCTCTCTATACAGAAAAACAAAAAAAAATCATCTAAAGTGTTTGGATGTGTGCGTAAATGCGCGCTCTACATAGCATATGCTACATGAAAAAATAATATTCTATGCATGTAGATAGGTATGAACAACAACATTCGTTGATACTGACAAGAGAATTTTTGCAGAAGAGAAGAAAAATATCTCCTGCCTTTAAAAAGCATAATGTAGAAAGCATAACCTAAAGAGAACTCACAAAAACTGTTTCGAGTATGAAGAAATTTTTCTCATATGGAACTGGATTGATAGAGCGCATATCATGAGGATTTGTGTGTGACAAAATGTTTTTGCAATTTGCTAGGCTGCTTTTGAATGTTTATGAGTAAAATTGATGAGTTTGAAATGGATGCGCTGAATATGAGTCCTTTAAGTTTGGCAAAATAATTCTACATCAATCTGGAATTTCTCTAGTTTAATCTGTTCCTTTATCCATATCATGTTGCTATTTGAGACAAGCTATTTGATGTCATACGATCATTGTGGGAATCATAGTCCATCAAGCAATTGGACATTTTAAAAATTTCAATAAAGTCAGTAGTTCCCGTGGCTCCTTTCAACTATGACTAAGTCACAAGCTCACAAAACTCATCCAAATGAACTGCAAACTATTGAAAGATTGTTGCGAAATGAAAATTGCAAATATTGAGTAATCACTACTTCTGTGTGCGAGTTGCTTAACGCAATCAAATTAAATCTTAGAAAGAAAAAAATAAGAAATTAATATTTAATTTCAGTTCGAGACTTCACTGTGAATACATCTTTGAATTTCGTCAGTTTGTTCTAAAAATCTTGAACTAAATTTTATTATCATTCAAAGATTGCATGTCTAGTAAACTGAAATGTTTAGAAAACTTAAAATGACTGGAATAGATCTAGCTGAATCAAGTTCAAACTTATGATTCCATATGAGATTTTGGAAGCAGTCAATAATGGTGAAATTAGTCAAAACCTATGTGCTTAAGAAAATTCTCTTTAAATTTTTTAAAGACCAACAATCTTAAAATATCAACACGTGTATATCACTGACACCCAGACAAAATTCACCCCACAAACGCATCATTCATGAAACCTTAAAAGGCACTTAAAATAAATAATGTTAACACAGGGGACAGACTTACATACATATGATGTAGAGAAGAAGAAAAAAAAACGAGAGAAAAAGAAAAGAAATGAAAAAAGTAGAGAATCCAGTGAGCATGAATAAGATTATAAGACCTTCAAAATATTATCGCCTCATGAAATCCTCTACTTACCTTACATTTACTTTTGCTCGTTTTGTGCCTTTTTTCCAACTTTTATTTATATTTCTTATTCTCACGACACTTTTTTTTTAATACATTCAAATTTAATTTCTTTTGAACAGATATTAAGGTCGATAAAAGTAAGAATAAATAAAAAAATTTAGAGAAGTAACAACCAGGAATAATGGTAAAAATAGATATCGATAGAGAGAAAAAGTTCACAATGGAAACGACAAAGAAAATGGAAAAGATTCAAATATATCCATCAAAACAACAGCACAATAGTTTCAATAATAAAATAAAACCAAAACTTATCATGTCACCACTAACGACAATGCCGACAAATGCAAAGAAATTAATGATTGCTGCAAATGGAATTCAAATGAAACAACAGAATATTATGCATCAGCAGCAGCAGCAGCAACAACAACAACAGTCGACTGCCAATGAGAATAATGTGAATAATAAGAAGAAAGAGGATAATAATGATGTGAAATTGCCCACAGATACGATTATGAAAGAGAATTCTACGACATCAGTTAATTTAATCCCCTTGCCGATGAATGATAAACTACCAGAATCGACAGCACAAGAAAATTCTAACGCAACGACGACAACGACAGTTGATATTGAAAAGAGAAGTAAAGAAACAGCTGGTTATAGATCGGAGAAAGAGAAGATAACACTAGGCGACGTGCATCCATACATTACATGCTATTTATGCAAAGGCTATTTAATAGAAGCAACAACAATTGTAGAATGTCTACATACGTATTGCCACAGTTGTCTCATGAAGCATCTAAGTCGCGAGAAATGCTGCCCGCAATGCGAAATGAGCATTAATAAATCGAAAACGAATATCAAGTAAGTTCCTCAATGATAGAAATTTCCTTTATTTGCTTGTGTTTGTGTGCCTTTAAACATGTTTTAAGGAAGGAAGTTCAAATGTCTTGGAATTGTGTTACAAACATTTCCAAAGAATTTTTTTTTCCTATTCCTTACTCGCTTTTTTTTACATGAGAAGGTCTTCATTGTAGATTCTTTGTTCCTTTTTTTACTACAATTTCAATGAGCTCGATTTAATTTCCACATGTATGTTAATAAATTATTTTTTAAGAATAATAAAATTAAAATAATAATCATAATGTTATTAAAGTGGAAAGATCTACTGATAGAATTTCCAGATACCCAAAAAAAATTTACACAATGCATTGTAAAATGCTAAAGCTATGTATTCTGGTAAAATTAATGAGTAATTTTCATTATGTGAATCATGTTTCTTGTTAGGAACTTGCCAGACTAAAGGTTCTGGAATTGTTTTATGTGCGGAGGAAGTTAATGTCATTGTTTATAGGCATAGATTATGTGTTAAATTGAGGAGTGATAGGCAGTATGAAAAAATAAAATTTCCTGACTTTAATCCTCTTGTTATTGAAATATTTTGAATCATTTATTAATGGGGTTATTCAAAAATTACGTCATTTTAAAATATAAGTTCTAGAACACTGTACACAATAATACTTATGTCCACTTGTTAAATGCTAGCCAAAAAATCGAAGGACATTTTTCATTAAATTACACAATACACGTAACCTTGGCAATGAATTTAGTCAGGTTCCTGTGACAATAAAGTGCAATATTTCATAAAGCACAGCTTGAGCTTCATTTGTTTCTAAAGGTATTATAATTTCTGCTCTACACAAAAATAACTTTAGAGCACTTTAAAGATTTCTCAATTCTTTCTGGTCAAACTCGAGATATTTTTACAAGATCTGAGGGTAGTTTGAGAGGAATACTCTGGGGTAAAAATTAGTTTACGGCATCATTCACACTGTTGAGTATATAGCAGTCGAGAGTTTTTGTAGATTTTGAAAACAAAACCATAAAATTTTACTAAAATATTTTCATGCTGTACAATTTTACTCGAAAACTTTCTAGAAAAACATTTTCATGTGGCAAGTCTGATGCGAAATGAAAATACGCATGTCGACTAAATCTCTGAGCATTTAAACTAATCATTTGATAAACCAACTGTACGTAACGAGTATACAGAGTAATATTATTTGACAATAGAGCGATTCCTTAGACATAATGTTATTCGATTCATTGCCTTTAAAGACCCATAAAATTTATAATAATCCACACAAATACAGACATCAAAATTAAGTAAATTTTTACTAAAATCACAATAGTTTCTCACCAATTTCTTCCAACCCAAAAAAATCCTTTAGATATGATGCAACAATTCAATCAATTGTATATAAACTTGTGCCTGGATTGTATGAGAAGGAATTATTAAGACGTAGAGCGTTTTATAAGCAAAGACCAGATGAAGCCAAATTAGCAACCCCTGAAGAACGTGGTGACGATACTGAACATTTGATATTTAGCCCTTCCGATTTAATTTCACTATCAATAGACTATGCTGAAAAAGAGTAAGTATTCAATAAAAAAAAAAATCTTTTTGTAAAAAAAAATTAATTGAAATAAATTCTTTTTCTTGTTATAAATCTAGAACCCTAAAAGGGATGGAAAGCGACCCTCATGTACAGAATTTATTAAAGCCCAGATTCCTCAATTGCCCAGCAATTTTCAAAGTTGAATACTTAAAGAAATTCATCTTAAATAAATTCCATATTAATATTAATAAATTCAATGTTGAAATAAGTTACAAAGTAAAAACAATCGTCCTTCCCGAGCACTATACATTGATGGATGTTGCATATATTTACACATGGAAAAAGGTAATAATTTTTGTGCAAAAAAATAATTCATTGTAATTTACTTTATTCTACTCTCTTTTGCTTACACAGGAAGCACCAATGCCTTTTTTCTTTCGAATAATTGCTAAAAATTCCAGAAGCAATGAGTTACCCGAAGTCTCATTGCGCAGGTCACCAACAAATATGACGAATTTAAACGACGATCTCAACGACACATCTACAAATACATTGTCGAAAAAGAAGAGCGTATCGTTTAAAGAGGACGTCGAATCATCTGATATTAAAGCTGGAAAGGATGTTCAGAAGACATCAAATGTAAGCAGCAGCAAAGGTGGAAATGGAATGAGTTATGTAGGTGGAAAAAATGAGAATGCGGAAGTAAAAAAATCTTCACCACCAACACCACAACAACCGCCACGTGTCGAGAGTATTAAATTAAAATTTGATGTTTCAAATAATAACGTGAGTATCATAAAGCCTGACGGTACAACAGTCAAGACTGATACAAAGTCAAAGAAGAAAGATAAGGAGAGCAAAAAAGCAAGTAAATTTGATAATAATAATTTCATCATCGAGAATAAATCGCCGTTATTAAATAACGAAAAGAGAGATGAATATGAGTTCGATGATGAAATTGAGAAACAGAAGCTCGGATTCCTCAATACGTTTCAACTAACGGCAAAGAAAATGTTGATGCAAAAGAACACAAATTTATCCCAAAATAATAATAATAATAGCACGAACAAAAATAATAATAAGAACAGTTCCGATAGTAAAATCACATCGGTGACAAAAACGGATGAAAATACGAATAGCAAAAATATTGAAGAGGGTAAAAATCTTACGCAAAAATCTACAGCCGAGAATAACAACAGCAATGTTAATAAACGTAAAAGTAAGGAGCCTGTTAAAGCTGAAAAGGCAAAAAAGTATAAATTCCATGAAATGAAATCCGTTAGTGAGGGAAGTAAATTTTTATTTACAAAAACTGGGGATGGTCATGAAATTACATTCGATATGTCACTGAAACCGTTGGGTAGTAAGCCTCCGTTGAGTAAGGTGAAAAGTGATATTTTAATGGCACAACAGAGGGCAGATGCGAAGGCAATACAAAGTAAAAACGAGGCAAATAATGCCAGTGAAAAAAATCAGGCCAATAAAACTCCTCAAATTAAACCCAAAAAATTACCAATGCTGCTTCCAAAGCAAACGCCACAGACTAATACAAATATCACATCAACATTTATTGCTCCAACTTCTATGTCACCTACTGCATTTGTGATTAAAAAACCAGATGCTATTCAAAAAGAGCCTGAAATTGCGACAACATCAGAAATCAGTGTAAGGAAATTAAGTGATGTTAATCATCAGTATCGAGTTTTTGGACCAAGTTCACCGGAGACAAATAACAAAGAAAAGGAACCGGAAGCTCAATTTAAATCACCAAAAGACGTTTTTGTTCAGCCTTTACCGCCAAAACCAAAAGCTAATCCATTAACAGCCCCACCCACAACAATACCTGTCTCGTCAGCATCAAAGCCTTTTGGATTTGGTCCTAAACAGCCTAAAGTTATTCCTGAAAACATGCAAACACCTTATGGAAGTCGAACACCATTCTATGTTCCAAGCAGTCCATCCTATACACCAAATTTTGATCCAAAACCACAATTTAAATATGCAAATCCAAATGCCTATGCCTCATTCATGCAATCAATGTTTTCGCCAGTAAATGATAAAATTCCAGCACCAATTAACACATCACAATCATCAAAAATTCCTTCAGTATCATCACCAACTGACTCGAAAAATCCACGTAAACGACTTTCCACTGATTCTATGCCAAATTTATCAAAACGAAAATCTCCGTCACCAACAAAATCGACAAATGCAACAGTTCCGACACAGCCAACAACAACAACAACACAAGTGTCGACATCATCAACAGCAACAGCAACGACTAATACAAGTGGTGATACGGAAACAAAAGCTATTTCAATTTTAAACAAAATCAGCTTTCCGTCATCGTTGAGTGTGACTCTAACAAATGAGCAGGAAGAGAATAAGAAAGAACAACTTCGTAGTCAGAAACAAAATGTTAATAATAATATAGAGATCATAAAAATATCAGATGAAAAAGAAGCAGCAAAAAATTCAAAATCTCCATCACCACCAAAGAATAGTAATAACGAGAAACCTGAAAATGCTAATGAGAAGCAGCAGATTCAGAAAAAATTGCCAGAATTAAAGAAACTATCACCAATTTTACCGGCACCGCCAAATGTTTCATCAATGCAACCGCCAATTTTACCTCCACCCGCTGTCGCAAAGGCATTATCGGATTCAAAAGAAAGTTTTCAACGTGCATTCCTTGAATCATTAATGAGTGTCACAAATCGTGATAAAAATATGGATAATAAAAATACTCATCGTAAGAAGGAAGGAAAAAGTCAGTCAGCATCAGCCTCACCCGATGCATATAAAAACAAGAATCATTCAGATTTAGAAAGTAAATCAGACTTAAAGAAGAATAGTAATAATCAAGATAATGGCATGATGGGAACAACAACATCAACATCGGCAGCACAACCAAAAAAGAATCTGTCATTAACGCCTCCGCTGTCGAAAAATAACACTGATAAGTTAAATTCCAGCACAAACTCGGCAATGAAATCATTGACACCACCACCACCAATGATGATGCAAGATCATTCAATGTTCTCACCACAAGCGGTTGCAGCATCATCGGCAGTACAATTTAATCTTATGTTAAATGCATTGAATGCAGCAGCAGCAACTGGCGGTGCCCCTTTTGCATTTCCCGACTATGCTAATATTCAGCGAACAATGCTATTGGAAACTTTGAGAAAGAATGTCGAGAAATCAAATGCATTACTCGCCATGCATCATCAATTACAGCAACAGCAGCAAAATCAAAAAACTTCTCCTAATTCTTCTTCTTCCTCATCGAAGCATTAAGAAAGTTTTATTTTTGTTTCTCTCCTTTATGTTCGTATTATTGTTTCATTTTTTTCTTGTTTTTCTTTATATTTCTTTCTTCAGTGGCGTTTCCAGAAATTTTAAGAATTATTCCGGGTTATAACAGACTTTTTAAATATTTGAATTTTTTCAAAAGTTTTGAATTTTTTAAAAATAATTTAACCGTTAAAATTTTAAGAAAAGATAAAATGATTTAAATGAATTTTAAAATCGAATTGTCTCGAAACTGGAAGCCCCACAGAAATGTATATAAAATTATCAATGAATTTATATTATTATGAATATGAATACTGCAAAAAGAAGAAGAGAAACAACGATGATTATGTCCATAAATGGATTTTCTCTTTATTTGTCTTGATTCTTAAAAGAAAGAAAAGAAAAAAGTTTTTTTTTATAAAATACATAATGAATGTATTTCTTTATCGTCATGTTTATTATTAAGATCTATCAGTGTTACTACATTTAAAAATTGTACATAAATGGATTCTCGTCTTGAGAAAAAAAATTTCACTGAAGAAAAAGTTTTTATAAATTTTTTGTGGCATTTTAAATGCTCGATTTTTAAAAAAAGAAAGAATTTTCCAATATTGTAAATTTAAGTATTGATGATAAGTTGAAGAATGTTTGAAAATTAGAAAATTCTTTTAGTTTGGAATTTAAACTGTACAGGCATCCAGTGAAATATTTTGACTTGTTTTTTTCTCATAAAATTTATTATAAATATAGCTTATAATTTATCTTAATGTATACTTATTATGACGCTTAACGTCTTTGATATACGAGCGATTTAGAAATGAGATGGCAGTTTGTGGGGGTCGAGTTTTTGCTATTCATTTGAGATCATGGAATATTCCAATAATAAATATTTATTTGCTGGCTGGAGATATAGCTTGGTTACGTGCAAATATTGTAACTAGTGAGCTAAATTAGAAATAAAATTGCAATCAAATTCCAACTTACACCCTCAAGTACCAAAAATGAATTTTAAATTGAATGCAAATGAGTCAAAGTTATCAAGATTTAAAAGAAAACTTTGGAAATAATATAGACAGTTGAATCATCAACCTGAAAATGCGAAAGACTGATTTTTAAAAGATAGATTTTAGGGGGATTTGGGTAGATAGGCGACATTAGGGTTGATGTGTTTGTGACAGAGAATTTTTGGTATTCAACATTTTATGCTTACGGGAGTAAAAAATTGGTGAAAAATTTCGATCAAAATATATTATGAATTTTTAAAATAAATATTGTGATAATGGATGGGAGGGTTGAACTCATCAATTTATTGGATATTCCCTCATGTGAAAAAAATTTGTGAAGTATTAGTGACATGAGTTAAAAGCTACAAATAGCTTAGCATAGTCCATTATATAATTGTATAGCAATCAATTTGCCATTTCGACTGCCAACGAACTGACTTCTCATTCCCATATAGCTCAAAATTATTGTCCTCTCTAAAATAAGAATATATAAAAAAATTCTTGTGGCATTCTGTGAACAAAAAAACATAAAATCTGCTGTCATTAAAATTCATAAAAAAAAAAATAAAAGAAACCAGAAAATATTTTTTCAAATGTAACTCTTGTATTTAATTAATCATTATTGTTGCTTCCGAATTTCATCTTTATTTTTTTTCAGCTGTTCAATAATCAACACAATAAATAGAGAGTAAAAGAATCTCAAAAATTCATTATGCTTCAATAATATTAAATTTACCAACCATGAGTAAGAGTCGTTTTTACTGAAACATAATGAAAAAATTTTCTGTTGGGACGAAACATTCTCTCCGTCTCTCTTACTTTGCGTCATTTTTCGAGCACACAGCGCTTGAAAACATTTATCTCAAATACAGAGTCGTAGTGAGAAACTGAAAATTAATAGAATAAATTCAGAGCATCATTCGTGCCTTAATACGTGCCACGAAATTTTTTGTTGTTATTCGTTCGGAGTTTTTTTCCATTCTGTTTAGTTCCCCGATTATATTTTCACTCGTTTTATTTCTTCCACAAGCGATATGCTGTTTACGATACGAATAAACTCAATTTAATCACACATACAGACAAGAAATTGAATTATACATAAGTGGCGCGCACCTATACAGTCAAAGAAAAATGCTGAAATAAAAAAAACTTTTTTTTTACAAAATAAATTTCTGAATTATTTATTTTCTTATTACACAACATTTCTCACTCACTTACTCGCTCATTCATTCAGACGTTTGATGTATATTTATCGCCTGATATAGCGCTGAACAAAGTCTTTTTTTTGCTTTTGCATTGATGCTCTCACTTAATCACACACAATATTTATTTCCCTTTACTTTTTACTTGCTCATTCTCTTTATGTATTTTCACATTCGAAGCCTTTTAAAATAAATAAATGAATGAATTGATAGGCATTTGTATACCAGCTTTTGCTACTGTCTTCACTTTTTCTTGTCATTTAATTCTTTCTCTCTCTCTCTCTCTCGCCGTTGCTATGCTTTACATTTTTTTTTATTTTTATTTTGCTCGCATTCACAATTTACTTGGGAATTATTTTAATAAATTTCTTCTATTCAGCATTAGCTAGGTACTTGTTTTCTTGAATAAATTTATTAAATATTGTAAGAACGCATATAAAAACTGTAAACTATGGAAATTATACGTCCCATTTAGAGTGATCTATTTTTCGGGGTCGCTTTTCTAATGCGTACAATTGAAATTTACATTTTTATTCCATTTCACTCATTCACTCTCTTTAAACATATTCTTTCGTCATTTGTCATAATAATAATTTACTTTCGGAATTTTATATTTTCACAAAACCAAAAATTTTATCCCTCTTTTATAAAAATACGAATAAAATCTTGTCTTGAAAAGAAGTTTATGATTTTGAGTAAATCTCGAATTCAAGAAGAACTTATTGACACTTTTAGCTATTTTGAGTATTTGATTTTGAATTAGTAATTTGTAAATTTAAGTAGATTTTTAAATATCAATTGGTTACATCGTAGGTTCGTAAAGGCAACATTTTAATGTGTCACATTTTTGGAGAATTCCGATTCTTTATTTATAAATAGGTTTCAAAAATTTAAGATATTAACTTCAAAGTTACTAAGGCAGCGAAAAAGCAGCAATTTTTGGTAGTGAATACTGTGTTGGACAACCAATCCCAAAAAAAGAGAATAGTAACTGTTAAAAACTATTTAAAAACAACTAAATTGATTCAAAAAAATTCTGCAGTGTTGCACTTATTGCTAAATGGAAGCAAAAAGTTAATGATTTTAACCATTGCAAAATAGTAAAGTTGATTTTTTTATAATATAGCACACCTATCAATATTATTGCATTTGCTTGTTATGTCATGCTATCGATTGATAATATGTTTTATTAAATCGATATTGTTGTTTTTTCTTATCCACAATTTATTAAGAAAAAAATATTAGAAAATTTTACTTCTTTTCTTAAATTATTAAATTAAATTTTAAAATCATAATCTCGATTCAAGACATTTGTAGAAATTTTTCTTATCCATAATGAGATTTTCAACTGAATTTTTATTTTATTAAAAGGAATTGTATCCAAAAAATGTAATCAGCTAGTTTTTCATGAGCAAGATAAATTACAAACTTAATTAAATCAGTTCTATTTTGTAAAAAGTCAAATCAACATCAATTAAAGTAAGTTATGATAGTTTTGTTTTACACCATAAAAACAAATTCACAATTTCAATTTGTTCAAGATTATCAAAATTTATTGAACTGATCGTAAAGCTCAACTGAACAGGATAATCGTTGTGATGGATGATGGTAAAGCTACTTAAAATTTTATAAACTATTTTAGGAATACAACGATTCGAAAGCATTTAAAACAATTAAATAGGTTCATCTTAGCCAAGGAAACCAAACCAAATCGGTTTTAAAAAATTGTAAAAGCAATTGAATCCATTTTTAATAAATTAAATGAGTTGAAATAGAATAGAAAAAGTTAAGAGGTAGGAACATGTCTTTATTAAATGTATTTTTGCCAAATGCATAGATTCCATCCAGATTCCACAAAGCACATCGCTAGTCGCTAAGTTGTTCATATTTTTCTTATTTTCTATATGAAATGTTTTTTACACTTATAACAAAATAGAATTAATTATTTTAATTTTACCATTTACAGTCAAATGCGATTTTAAGAAATAAAGTGCAAATTTTAATGAAAACTAAATTTCTCAAATATAAAAATGTTCAAACATTCAAATCAACTCAAGTTGTTCAATATCAAGCCAAACGACCCAAAGATTTTTATTTTTTCATTGAAAATGAGTTCATCTGTCAATCAGATTGCAATTTATTTCAAAATGAATTTTCAGTCAAATACTTCTCTACTGTCAATTTAATAAAACTTTCAAGAGATCTCGACCCAGTTGCGTATAAAATCTATTTCGATTGTTCCGAATTCGGACTTGGTAAAGCAGATATGAAGAAACTTTACAAGCAAATTGAGCAATATATAAAAGATAAATTTATGTCAATAGACTCAGCTTTTATTGGATGCATCCGAGATGATAATGAGACGCATCAATTTTGTACCGAAGCAAATCTCAAATTTAAATGCAGGACTGACCCTTTTCATGACATATTCAACATTTTGAAAAATATTTATGTGGTTTCAAATAATTCATATCAAGTTCTTAAATATCAGGATGGAAATGATTCAGTTCAATTTAGCTACAAAGACCTCAAACTTTTTATTGATATGCACGGCACAACTTCATTACCAAAAGTAGGATTCTTCGATACAAAAAAATTTGGAAAATTAGAAAGTCATAAAAGAATTTGGATGCCAAATAGAAATATCCAGTTAGAGAAATTTATTAGCCAATTTCGTTGCTTATTCAGTATTAACTACTACTTAAAAATTCAACATCTTCTGCAAGAAACCAAAGGATATAAAAACAAATTTATTGAAGCTCAATCATTAATAAAACTTATATTGTTACTCCAAAACATCTATGAGATGCAGCACCGATTTGTAAAACTTGAAGACATTCAACATTTAGAACATTATCATAAGGAGCTGAAGCGCTATAAATTTCAGAACAATAACATTCGATGTCTAAAAAACTTAACCACTTCTACGAAAACCAACTTAGAAACCTTCAAATATCTTAATAAAAGCTTTATCAAGTTTAAACCAAGCTACTTTAGTACTCAATCGATTGAAGCTGAAAAAGGTTATCTTCGATATCAAAATTGTGGTGATTTGCCAACTGAATCTCAATGTAAAAGCTTCTTTAAACATACTCAGGCAGGCACAGCCGAAATGAAGTTGTCGTCAGAATTTGGAAGAGTAAAAATAAAATTTGATAAGGTTCCAGGATCAGAATTAGAATTCAAGAAAGGAGAGATTAATCACAAAAACTTAGAAATTAATGATGATGATAACATTTGTGAAATGTTTTGGTCTCATTCAGATTAGTCTTGATTCATATTTAAACAAATCAAAAGACACGAATATGTTAATAAATGAATCTAAATTTAACACAAAATAAGTGACACGCTGCGGCTATTAACATGTGAATGTATATTGTTTGTTCAGATAAGAAAAACAGTTTTTCACAGTTTGTGACAAAGTAAGAAAGTTTGTGCCTCAAATTTTACGTCTTCTGTAAAAAAAACAAATTTTAAGTTGGGGCCGTTCACTTATGACGTCCAGGGGGGGGGGGGGGTCAGCGAGAAAAGAACAATAGAAATTCCTGGAAATCCATTGTTCTTTTTTGAAAAATGACCGTTAATTTTGGACGTCATAAGTGAACGACCCCTTGGTTGAAGCAGATTTGTAGTTTTTTATTTGCCATTGAATGATCTTAAAAAGCAAAATGACGTTGCTTGATTCTCAACTTTATGTTTTGATAGCTTCATAGGTTTTCAATATGATATTTTCCACCCGTTTTTATTTTAAGATTATATTTTCAATCTTAAAATATTGACTGAGAGTCGGAAACTAAGATATTTATCTAGTTAAGCAGGATTTGTCTTAAGACTTAAAGCAAAAACAGCAAACCCAACGACAAAAGGAACTTTTTGAATTTTTAACGTTGTTAAACAATTGAACCACACGACTAAAGTTTTAAAAGTATCGGTATAGAACTTAAGTTTTAAGTTTAATATTTTAAAAGATCTTCGGTTAATAAAAAAAAAATCAATTTATTTACAATAAAACTTCATCAAACTGTCCACATGACGCTTCTTATTACATTGAAAATAAACGTTTATGACAATTATTGAAAGCAACTGTGTTTAAAAAACTTTTCATTCAGTTAAAAAAATATCAATACAGAAAAATGTTCAAAGCTGCTGTTAATCTCTCATCAGTTTACAACATCCCATAAAAGTGAACAGTAGAGTAGTTCATAAAATTATACGACTCTGTTCATTTAAATGCTTCAAAAGACTTGATACATTTTTTATATTTAAAGTGCTTGTAGGTGTCAGCCATGCTAAGCAATAAAATGTTCATTCCCTCATTCATGTATATCCCAAGGAAATAAAGTAAAAAAATGTCAAAAGAATGATAAAGCAGAAGTAATCTTTTTTGATATAAAAGGCAACTGCAGACTGCCATAATTTATCTCTCTAAATTCTTCGTTTCCTGCACACTCACATGTACACATCAAGTCGGGTCGAAAGGAATAAAACAGAACTGAGAAAATTGCAGTTGGCAAAAAAAAAATTGAAACTTTTCATTCTTCTTTTATGCTAATGCAACAAATTTTTTTTCTTCTTTCCTTTCGAGTTTCAGCTTTAAAAAGAATCACTGACTCTTACTCGAAATACAGTGTGTGACAAAAAGCAATTTTACTTTGAAATTACAAAGAAAAAAGAAGAAGAAGAAAAAAAGAGGAATAAAGTGAGTGAGAAAATGTGAAAACAATTTTTTTGCTGTGCCTTCTCTTTCAATTTAAACGCTTAAATGCTCTGGCGTCACACGAAACAAAAACAAAAACAAGAGGCATACGCTGAGGCATTGAATCGCTAGTATATTGAATATTTTAGCGACTCTAGCGCTTTTTTCAGTGCTATACAAATCAGTAAAGAATTAAGCTGAAAATGATTTTTATATTTAAATGACTTAATATTTAATTTGGAGTTTGTTTAAAATTGGAACTTACTAGAGTCTATTTCTTTAAGGTTTAGAATAACATGGGTTAAATGGAGTTTGTTACATTCTCGTGTTCATTCAAAGACTTTTTGCATTTTTTTTAAAATACAAATTTTACAACTAGTTATATCAGTGTCTTCCAAACTTTTTTGGTCGGTGACACACCTCGATCGTAAGCCATAACAAAAACCGTACACGGCATACGGTTCGTGAGATTTTCCGAATTTTTTTCGGCTGTGCCGCGACACATAGTTTGGAATTCAATGAGTTATATTAATGAGTAAATAATACAAAGGGGTTTCATTCCTCCATACTCACTCAGAAAATTCAATTTTTTTTGTAAAATCACAACTTATTGAACAAGAAGTAAATATAAATTACTACGATTCATATGCAAATGAAACTAACTTGGATATTCCAAATATAATAATTTTTGCTAAAAACGAATTTTAAACATTTTAAAAAAATCGTTAACGGATAGCTTTAAGGTTTTGATAAAAACGAAGTTAATAGCTGATATTGAGAAAGAACATTCATGATTTTAGAATTCACCCAAACAGTTTGACAGACAAAAGTCTCAAAACAGTGTTACCAGGCTGGTGCGTAGCCGGATTTTATTAAATTCGTTTTGTACATTTCCTGCGGTAATGTCAATAAGGCACGTCTTATATGCTGAATTAAAAGCCTTAATAAATGGTACTTACTAAGGTTGTCGTTTGTTCCTTTGTCTATTTTTATTGCTTTAAAATCATAAAATCATTCATGCTCCTGCATTAATGCGCGAATTGATAATATGAGCCGCTTCTGAATAAAACGTCTATGGTCATCCTATCCATTGGCTTCTCTTTAAAAATAATGTTATGGCCTAACCTAAATCTTTTCTATAGTTTAATTAGTTTGAATAGTTTGACAAATGCTTTGGCAAATTTTGAAGTAGACTCGGATAATATTGAAATTTTTCGAGAGAACTTAATTTTATGCAAAACCTAGAGTACTGGTCTTCAAAGTCTTCAGTAACGAAATTTCAGTAATTTACCGTAGTTTTATGTAAATTTTGAATAGTTTCCAGAATCATCATTCTTGAAAATATTCAACAAATTCATCAAGTCAGCCACTACTAGCACAAAAATACCCGATAAACAGCATTAATCTTCAAAAAACAACAATCCCAATAAAATATGATATTCCAAAACTTGCTATGCATGTTATATAGACAAAAGAAAGAGGAATTTGATATTGAGATTTAATGAAAATTGCAAGAGCATGCAAAATATTAAATTTCAAAGTCCATCAAGTGTTTCAGCGACTAGAATTTCTTCATCATCTCCGATTGTGTAGAAATACCAAAAAAAGACCATAATGGAAAATTACTCGACAAAAGCGGCACAATAAAAAATTGGCATTTCAGAACTCAATCGAGTGTCATTTTTTATTTTTATTTTACAATTTTTCATTCCACATTCAGTTTTAAAGTCTTTCTTTTTTTAAGAGTCGTTAGCACTCGGCTAACATCGTTCTTTAACTTGTGTGAATGTATTGAAAACTCGATCGCGATTGGTCAGAAACATCAAGAGAAATTTCCCTTCATTCCTACGATTCCGAAAACTCATAAGAGAAATATGATGCACGCATACATCTACATGATATTTTTTTAATAAAATCGTTAATTTCGGCTCTCGTTCGTTCGTTGTTGTTGCTCGTTCGTTTAATACAGTTCGCGTTATGTGTATTTTCTCTATAGCAATGATGATGCAAGCTTTATATCAGTCGGAGTTTAGTGTTTGACTTGGAGAGTAGACAAATTTTCACAATCGAAAATTAAATTTTTTTGTTTATTACTACGTTAAATTTAAATAGTGCTGCTGTGAATTATGGAAAAATAGATAATATAGTGTATTTTAATTAAGTTTTTGTGTGTGGCACTGGATTTTGCTGTGGTTTCGATTGAAAATTAGGCCTCGGAAAAATCGGAAGAAAAAAAATTCATTTTTATTTGATTTTTTTTTCTCTTCTTTTTTTTCATTAAATGAAGAAAAAATTTTTACACGAGGCATAACCGTACTAATACAAGCATACAGAAAAATTGTACAAAATAAAAATAATGGTAAGTGTATGTTTGAAAATTGTACCGTAGTACTGCTCTTATGAGATATCTCTTATGTGTGTATGTGTGAATGAGTGTGTATTTGTGACTGTATATACACATCTTTTTATGATTAGTATTGAATGTTGTGCCACGATGAAAATATTTTTATTTTGTTTTTCATTGAAACACAAAATTCGTAAAAGAATGAAATCAAAATATAGTAAAATAACATAAAATATCGAAATAAATTTTGTGGAAATATTAATTTATGCGGAAAGCCGCAAATGCGGTTATAGATTCCTTTATTTGGGATTCAAATGACTTTTTTTTCAATATTTGTATGAGTTGCATAGGCTTGGAGATTCATGTCAATTTGTTATTTATTATGTAGATTGTTTGGAAATTCACATTATCATTAATCTATGCTCAATTGATAATTTATTATTATTACTTTTCAGTTCAATTATGGTTGAAGATTTTTTTATGGTTCTCTCAAATATAACTGCTCTTTTATGTCCATATTCGGTCAAACTTTCTAATTTTGAGCTAATTGCATGAGTATGATGATTCCGCAATATTACTTTTTACACTAACGTAACTTTTGGAAGTAATAGTTTAAGTACTTTGTTATCAGATTCCTATTAAGTCTTATTGGAATCAAGTACAGAACCAATAGATAATGAAAGACTCAAGACAAATGGATGTTTGTAACGGCTAATCATATTTTCAGACATGACAGTATGCACATTGTCATAACTATATCATTACTCTCTCGTCTAAGTGATGATATATCCCTTAGTAGAGTGTAGAGGCATTTGTCTACCAAATGCTTGGCAAATGTCCATCAATGAGATCGTTTCAAATTTTTCTAAATAAATATTTTTTCACAATTATTGCTTCCTTCCCCATTTGTGAGTTCCTTTAAATCTATAATTAATGCTGAATTTTTTTACAAGGAACATTTTACAATCAAGGACAATATTTCAATATATTGCCTTTGATTGACTAGAAACAGTTTTGATAAATTAACTGTTCATTTATTTTCAATCAATATTGATAAATAAGAATAAAAATTTATATCATGAGTTATGTTCAGCCCTTGGATCCTCAATCAACAACTATGCTTAACAACAGATCCTATGTCATAAACCAAGTTTATTGGTACCATAATTAAGCGCCACTTGAGTTACATTTTTCTTACTGCGCCGTTATTGCTCACTGACTGACTCCTGTGCTTATTACAACAAGTATCAGGAGCAAAGATAGGTTGAGTAGGGGGAGGAGGTTGTTTCAAAAACTTTCAAAAATTGAATCGTTCTCAATCAAAGGATTTGTCTCCCAATCCATAACTCCCAGCTACTCACCTGACTTACCAAACTGTGTAAACAACACTACATTATTCCACGTGATACTGCTACGCATAATTTATATGAAACTATTCTGCCCATTGTTTCCTCGAAAAACCCATTGTCACTCCAGATGAATTAAAACCTAACTTCAACAAACTGTTCAAATAAGTAGACGCATAGATGCTTTGTTCATAATAAAAAAATTCCCTCACAGTTGTTTCCTGATGAATTAATTATCATCTTACACCTTTTAGTGTTGCTGTACAGACATACATACATCGTAACTTGTCAAAAGTTTTCTTTTTGTTGTCTCGAGCTTGACTTTCTTTGGAAATTAATTAAAAAGTTTTGTGCTCAAAAGATATTAGAAGTATTATGGTAAAGATGTGACTTAATTTTAATGCAATTCAGTAAAATTCTGCTAGACAAGCTGCAGATTAATTTTTATAATCGTCCATTTAAATTGGATTACCATCAACTGATATTAACGCTTACCAATTAATGACTTAAGTCTGCAATAGTCACTGGAATTTCATTTTGTAGCTTAAAATATCATCACATCTATCCGTACATACGGGTTTCACAATCTCATGTAAAATCTATACACAAAAAAACTTATCAGACTTCCTTATTTACTCATTTTTTTGCAACATTTAATTTTTTAAGTCAATAATATCTTTCCATATTAGCATGTTGATGCTAATAAAATATGAAACCAGTAAAAATATTTCCACATGCTCGAGTACAATAGACAAAAATTATTTTTTAAATAGAATTGAAATTTTATTCTTGATGGAAATGAATGAATAATTCTGTCTGTAAAAATTTACGATTCAAAAGTTTACAAAATATTCAATGAGTAATTTGAATAAATCAAACTTGATTAAACTCAATAAAAATTCAAAAGCGATTTAAATAAATTAGACATGATTTAAATTATGTTGACAATGCTTTCTGCTTCTTTGAGTACTGTCACGGCTGTCCGGCTGTCATATTAGCCAGCTTTCTATTTCTTGTGAATTATTATCAAAATGTGCTTCAAGTTAAAAATCTAGAAATTGATATTTTTCGAAAAGATTCATTTTGTTGAATTCAGAGTTGTGATAAAGGTTGCCTGTCACAGGTACAGGTGACAGATCTATCACAGGTTTTTCCTGTTAACAGGCATTGCCTGGCAGATCTGTCACCTGTACCTGTGACAGGCGACCTGTATCGCATCTCTTGTTGAATTCTAGGAAAATTTTGGTACGAGATATAAAATTTGTTTCAAATAAGTTTAATTAAGCAGTCATACAAAAATTATAATGCAGATCTGCAATTGCGAAGTTTAAAAGCATCTAAAATAATCATTTTTCCTAGCTCTAAGCAGCTTAAAGGTACGGTCTTTAAGAGCAGAATCTCGAAATTTGTATTGTTTGCAAATTCATCCTTAAAATCTAGACAACAATTTCTAAAATGAAATAACCAATATAGAGTCGAAAAAAAATATGTCAAGTTCGACATTCCGCAAAAGACACTTGATTAAATAATTTTTAATAAAACGTAAAAGGATAATGTGAATAAAAAATGATTATAAGTTCAAAGTCTGTTTGAACACACCAACAGTATTTTGAATGAGTTTTGTTTTGATAGCTGAATTTTTTGAGCACAAAACAATAAGTTTGTAGTAAAGTATGCAGAACTTTTTATCGAAAGATAAATGAGTATGATTATTGGTGGAAGTAATAAATTTTATGTCTTATTTGTACATGTGCTTTAAGTTTTAATGATTAAAAATTCATAATAAGCCTTGAAGAAGATAACATCAACAAATTTCCTGTCCTTACTATCTTTACAGAAACTAGTTTAAAGGAAATAAGAAGCAAGAAAGAAGAATAAAGAAGAAATCAGCTACAATGATTTCTCGTAAACGTGTAAAAGATTTCAACAAAATTTTAACATGCCTTTTGTGCAAAGGATACCTGATAGAGGCTACAACAATCAACATATGCATGCATTCATGTAAGTAAATTAAAAGCTTGTTAAATTGCGTCGCTCTTTTTTCCACTCCAATCTCAATTTGACTTAAAAGTACATTAATTGTAATTAACTAAAAACACGATTTTTCTGGTGCTCTGTTGACTTACTTAATTATTATTTTTTTTTCGATACTTTTACAGTTTGTCGTTCCTGTATAGTAAAACATATTAAGCTTTTTGAATCATGTCCAATCTGCGACTGTGAAATAAGATTAGGAAATTTAAGGTATGTACGATAAAACATTTACAGATTGCTATCTTGAAAATGGGTGGATCGTGTGCTTTTTGCTGCAGAATTAATTTGAACGTCATTCTTGAATTCAATTACGAAATTTAACCAACATTTTTAATTAAGTTTTATTTTTAAAATAACATTAAATGACTTTTACTCTTTTGTGGTCCTTCATCTATGATATTCATCAAAAAATTGAATTTTTGTAGACTCCACTTATTGAGCTTTAGTCAAAAAGTCTCATCCTCTGCCCTCTCTTTCCTAAATAATGGACCCTTTTGTTTAAACTTTAATCATGAAGTCTCCATCAGATTTAATATCCAAAAACCAAACATAATGCATTGATCAATAGCTCCTTTCAACACCATCGGTAGCAAGAAGAACACACAAACATTTTAATAAGTGAAAACAGCACAAAAAAGTCAAAATATTTTCTTCATATATTAAATTTGCTATTTTTGTTTTATTTTCACTCAACATACAAAAAAAAAAATCCAGACCAGACATTCGATTGCGTTCGATTGTTTACAAAATCATTCCTGGACTTTATGCCAAAGAACGTCAAAATGTATCTCATGATGGTTTTGAGCAGCGTATATTTTTAAATGGAACATCATCAGGGGCTCATGCACTAGTCAGTAAATATGAAAAGCAAACATTTGACATCTGTTATGAGGATGAAAAATTGGCAAAGCAATATTTTTATGATCCAGAAGAACCAATAAGGTATGCTACCCTTTTTTTGTTGTTGCATCTTAAGAATTCAAATTAAGCAATAACATTTTTTTTTTTTGTTCAATCCCCTTTACAAATACAGTTTATCGCTTGAATATCATATGGAATCAATATTTGGTAGTAATAATATAACATCAATAAGCAACAACATTCCACAAGTTAGATATTTGCAAGCTCCAGCTGCATTCAAAGTGCTTCATTTGAAAAAATTCCTATCGTCTAAATATGATCTGAGCAATTTGAAGAAACCAATGTGCATTGATATTATCTACGAGGGCGATATTCTATCGGATGAATTTTCATTAATGGATATTGCATATACCTACAACTGGGAGCGTGTATGTATTCATAAATAATTTTTATTATTTTTTATTTCATTCCATCTCATTCGCTCGTTCATTTAAAAAAAAACTATATCTTGATGAAGAATGAAGATGTTTTGAATTTATTCTTTAAATATAGCGGCATAATATTATTATATACAATGTCTATAATTGCTTTCGTTCTTTTTTTTCTTCTTTCTTCTCCTGTTTACATCTCTCGGTTTTTTTTTTTATTATTTTAACGAAATATAAAAAATATAGGAGGCACCTCTGAAGCTGTTTTATCGTATTTACAAGAGCAAAAAACACAACAATAACAATGAAATTAATCTTATTAAAAAGGCACTCATCAACCAACCATTTGTGAAATTGAGCTCAGCTGATTTTCGAGCGACCATGGAGGAGTCATTATCAAGGAAGGTGTCAGATGCTGTTGATTGCAACAATCATGCTCAAGAGTCATCATCGACACATCATAACAATAATAATAATAGTAGGAGAATGAATACAAATTCTACGGGTTCAATTCAAAATCAAAATCAGAAGCAACAGTCAAAGCCGAGCGAAGCTCCTCGTCATGATTTAAAAATAATTATAGCTAAAAAGCCAAGTAGCAAAAATAGTAAAGTATTTGACGTTAGTAACAATAAAATAAAGTTGAATAAACCCAACAGCTACATCAGTAAGGTTCTTATAAATGATTGTGAGCGCTTGCGTGGTGATGTTGATAATTTTACTTCGTCAGAAATCGCTTCAACATCGGAAATGAAAACAACTTTAAGCAAAAAGACTGGAACGGTCTCGCATCATGATTTAAAGTTTGAGAATAAGAGCAACAGCAGCGGCAGTATGAAAAGTAGTAGTAGGCACAATAATAATACCGATTCTCATGATTTTTACGAATATAAAATAAGTGAAGGAGAGAAAGAGAAGCAACAGCAACAAAAACGCGAGAGCACGAAACATACAAATTCATCAACATCATCATCTTCATCTTTTTCACATCATTCAACGGCGGGACGGAATGAAGAAAAATTTAAAGTGAAATCCAACCTCTCTTTAAATATACCAAAATTGAAAATTGAATTGCCAAGTTTGAAGACGAAAATAACTGTACCCAAGACACCTAATGAGAGCTATTCAATATCTAAATCACCATTTAGTAATAATGTAAAATGTGAACCGCAAATTAAACGAGTGCGATTCGATATGTCAAATACACCATCGTACTCGTCCTCCAAAGCTGTATATGACTTTGATGATGAAATTGAATCAATGAATTCGTGCGTTGATCAGAAAAAATATGCTGCGAGAATTGGTTTAAAACCGGTTGAAAGGAAAGTTGATTCAATCATATTGCATCGTAAGCGCAAAAAATCAAAACATTCTAAAGATCCTGACCATTCATCTAAGAGACCAAAACTACATGTTTCATCATCATCGTACGATGACGAAAGTCTAAAATTAAAACTTAAAATCATGGGAGGAAAAAACTGTAAAAACGATAAAAAATTTAATAATAATGAAGAGGCTTATGAGAAAACATATAATTTTAAAGCTTCTCACTACCATAAGACTACTGATTCAAGTTCCATAAATGTGCAACATGAATATTCAACAAAGAAGCAAGAACAAGAAAAGCATAAAGAGGCTGTAATTGAATTAGAGAATCACAAATACTCCGTAACTGAACAAAAAATTCCAAAAAGTTCTAATTCAAATCAACCTATGGTTTTCATACCTAAATTGGTGTTACAAAAATCAACATCTGTACCAAATACATTTACGGCATCGTCACCAACATCTACATCGTCGGATAATAGTTTCAATAAAAGTAATAGCAGCAACAATAATACTAACATTAATTCGAAAAAAGAAGAAACGACAAAAGTACAAAGAAGAAATTCAATTTATTCGGATCAACATAAGAAGCAACAAGAGCAATCGTTGTCATCATTGTCGTCGTCATCTTCATCATTGCCTTCTGATGCAGAAAAATCGAAAGATTTAAAAATAAAGATAAAAACGCTTGATAAACTTTCTGGACATGATTCTAATTCAGTAAACAATCAACAGAAATTAATGAAACCGCCAACAGCGAAAATGGGCTCGCCGTCGTCTGACATTCAGGCTCAAATTACATCGACCCTTGCGTCAAGTCCAATTCGACCGAATAGCATCCCCGCATCACTTAAATTATCACCAATATCAGCGACGGCAGCATCACCAACAATATCGGTTAAGAGCGAAATGCAGCTACAAAATTTAAAGCGCTCATTGAGTTTGGGTGCTGAGAAGTCACCTCATTGTTATATTAATCCATATGCAAAAACAAATACTGAAATGTTTACACGCGATCCACCTCTAATTGAAATTCCTCCCTTAATTCCAACATCATCAACAATTCGTAATTTTTACAATAGCAACAACAACAGCAACAGTTTTAATCATCATAATAATCAGAGTGTAGGAAAAATGTCGCCAGTATCGATTTCAAAAGTACCAAACATAAATGTTAAAGATCCCACGAAACTCTTTCCGAATGCATGTCCGTCTGTTGAAATACTTAAAATACCTCAAGCTGCGCCAATCGTAAATAGACACCAACAACATCAGCCTTCTGTTAAAAACATTAAGCTTAATCGTCAGATGCCACCCACAATTCCTTTAGAGAAAATTAAACAAACAGCACAAAATCCAACATTACAGAAAATTTTGCCAAAATCTTTACAATCAACACAGAATTTTTTAAAGTCGTCGGGTTTTCATGAAAAGATTGATTTACCTCACCGGAGTACTACTACTACTAATAATAATAATAACACTAATAATAAAATGAATAATTTATCATTCAATACGTCAGACTTGTGTCAGAATCCAATTAGTCAGGATTTGACATTGGAACGATATCATTATGAATTATCGAGTGATATAGCAAAACTTGATCAAAGCTTGAGTTTAGAGAAGAATTTTGAGCACTGGGGGAAGCAGAAGATGCAAGAATATAGTAAAATTAGTGATATAAAAAATTTCGCAACATCGCCAACTGCAAAGAGTTTGTTGAATCAGCAGAATATGAATCTATCTGTACGTAATATTCCGAACCCATCTGCTCTTATGATGTTCCGTAATCAAGCTAATAATCTACATAATTCAAATAAATCAAAATCTCCGACTTCAACTTCTTCTTCTCCCAAATTACCAACTGTAAAAGAAACAGTTAGTTCAAGTACTAGCGATCAATGCTCGGATATTGAAGAAATTTTATCAAAGTCAACGATTTCTAAAAGTACTGAGAAGCCATTTTCTGAAAACTATTCTCAAAATTTGCTACAATCAAAATTTTCTCCTTCCTCTTTGTCTTCAAATCATGGAAAGATTAATGATAAAAAGAGCATTGAGAAGCTTACTGAATACCTCCGTCTAACTGCAACGGCTGCAAAGTCAAAGGAAATGAGACAAGACGATGATAATAATAACAATAATTCGTCACCAAAAAATGATAAAAATTTCAATTTAATTGATACGAGAAAGCAAAAATCTTCATCATCGGATGTAATATGTATTGATTCATAAATCATATATCCACAATCTTGATATTAAATTAATCAAAAAATGGCATTAGATTCCACTCAGAAAAATTATTATTTAAATAATTTTATTGAATCTCAAAATCAAAAGTAATTTTTTTTGTTGTTAATAATTATCGCTCCTAAAATTTATACATAATCGTATATAGTCAACATTGTGTATACTGAAAAAATATATCAAAATAAATTCAAAAAAAAAGTTTCTATAAAAAAGATTGCCGCTATTTATTCAGCGGAAACACTAAAAATGCGTCATTTCAGGTAGCCAAATATGATGATAGTTTTGTACTATCGTGTAGAATAACTCTAGATTTACATTAAGACAGCAACAAAGTAAAATATTTAAAAAAAAATCTATCAATTATTGGATACAGGAAGACACGTTTTTCGAGCGGAAATTTAATCACATTAGAGATGGAAATTTTTTTTTCATCAAATTTCAATTTTTTTTTCTTTGATTTTATAAAAAGTAAAGAAGAGTAGGGATAAAATAGGTGAAGTGTCAAGGTGTGATGATTTTTGGGTAGCTTTAAATTTTTCTCTTATAAAGGTTTAAAGTGTTTAAAAGAGTTGATTGAAGCTGATTTCATTTCAATAATACGTATTTAAAGATTTATCGATGTTTATCATAAATTCCCTGTATTGACCCTAAAGAAATCCAAGATACTCTCGAGCGATCAATTCTTAGTGTTAATTAAAAACACCCTCGTTCCTATGAATCATAGTTTCCATTGATCCTAGTTGATTTAAAGATTATTCGCGTAAATTCAATTTTTCAATTTTTGATTTCATTCCAAAAATGGAATAAGAAACAAAAAAAAAAACTTCGAGTCATCACACCTTGGAAACTTAACCTTAATAAATTAATCATTACCAAAACCTTAAAAAATATATGAAGAAGCCCAATTACAAATTTCTATACACATGAAAAAAAAAATCTTTTTAAATAAAGGAACTTACATAAAGTAATTGAAAATTAGGCAATATAAATTATCATCTACAGTTAACCCAATGATATTGCTTATATAATTAAAGAATATTAAATTTAAAATATACATGTCGTATGTTCATAATATGTACTACTTTCATAATTATAGAGAAAAAATAAATAACACAATATGAACTAAGTGACAAAAAAAATTATGATCGTGCTAAATAAACACATGAAATTGAGAAGAAGCTGACGTAGTTTAATATAATGATGAAGTAACTACATATTCACTAAAAAAAAAGTTCAAAAACCTCTTTCTAACTTCTCAAGTACATATATGAAATAAGAAATAATGAAAGAAAAAAAAAGATAAAAATTGAATGAATGAAATGAAAAAAAGCAACAAAGAGAAAGAAAAGCAGAAATATAATAAAAAAAAAATCAAGATGACATTATATGGCTAAATGTCAAGCGAATTGGTTATTTTTAAGGCTTCAAAAAGATGCTTTCGGATTGATAAAATTTAAAAGAATAGTATGAAAAATAATGAAATAGTTGTAATGTTGTCAAAGATGATCATTGCACCCTTTTGTAGCAAGTTTTAGAATTATTTTGGTATGAATTGAGGAATCTTGTTCTGTTGGAATGTTTAATTTAATGATACAAACTTGGACATTTGAAATTGTTTGTGGAATTTGAATTAAAGTTTTTGAGATACTTGAGATAGCTCAATATTCAATATGTGAAGCTTGAAATATGGAAATGATGACTATATTGAGGAATTTTGAATTTATTTTAAAGTGGACGAGCACACGCGAGTGTGAACTTCGTGACTCTAATTTTCATGACTTATGAAAGTATTTAAAAAAAGTCATTTTTGAGGCTATTTAATAAAAACATCAACTTAGTTTTATGAGATCTGATTAATGAAATTTAATAGATTTATTGGACACAAGGCTCCAGCAGATTATTTAACTTCAATAATCTTAATAGATTATAATTTTCGTTTTTAAAAGATGATAATCTGTGGAAGCTTTGATTGGACATATTTCATGAAAGTTATGTTTTTTAAAGATTAAGAAGATTTAAAACTACTCTTAAGTTAGTGCTCGAGTGACATAGAGGCTTTATAAGTTTGCAATGTCAAGTATCAACTTTAGTCTTTGATATTTAATAGCGAAAATGTAGTAAAATGCAGGAAAAGGTCAAACTATGAATGCTGATCCACGACAATTTCAAGCAAAAACTATAAATTTCCTCAATTCATTGCCAAGAAATGCTAAAGTTTAAATAATTTGGAGCTGTATCCTATTAATGCTTGAATTTGTTCATCGATGTTTCTAGCAATAAATGATAAATTCTATTCCCTACGTACTACAAGTCAAAACAAAGAATTATCAGAAAAACATCAAAAATTCAAGCATCAATATCCACAAAACTCTAAATTGTCAGAAAAAAATTAACCCTTTTGGAAGCTTTATATGACATTAAACATTCAAAAAAAAAATATTAAACAAAATTTTCCCATTTTTGGAAATTAGAATAAATTTTAAATTTAAATTAATATATAGTGCAAAAGGATTGATATTAGAGAAAACCCACAAAATTAAAAAAAAAAGTTTGGAAGTCTTCACAAAAAAATTCCAAATTTAATTGCACTTTAAAAATGAAAAGAAAAAAAAATAATAAAAAATAAAATTCAATGTGAGAGATAAATACAATAATAATGACGAATATAATGGTATATAAAGGAAGGAAATGATATATTCTTATTCTTACTTCTTTTTTTTTTTTTGGGGGCTATTGAAATGATATTATGAATAATGAGTTTTATGTTTCATTATTACAACATTTCTTTTCCGATACGTACATGCATAATGACTTATTATTTATTGCAGTAATAGTAATTATTAAAGGGGAGTGTTTGATGTGCAATAAAAAAAGCGAACAATTTTTTTTTTCATAATTTTAATCGTTATTGTTTGATAATTTCAATGATAATTTTTACATTGTGATCCTTAGTGCAAAAGAGAAAAGATTTAAAAGTAAATATTGATGAAATGAAGTCTAATATTTAATATTATATTAACATTTTTTAATCTTATTTTATTTAATTTCATGATGATGATGATGATGATGTAAATAAAATAAAGGAATTATGCAAAAATCATATATATGCATAAGAATGAAAAAAAACAAGCTTGTTCGTGTTTTTAATCCTTCACGCATGAATGACTACATTCATAATTGAGAGCAGGAAATTTTTTGAATTTTTATTTTGTTGCAGATTGGATTTACATTTGTAGGGAGTGTTGATTCTGCAGAGATTTTATTTTTCTCTTATAAAATTCAGGGATGGATTTGCTTGCCAAATACAACAATATATTTTTTGTGAAATTGGAGTTGGAGATGAGTTTTATATTAACAGAAAATTGGGTTTGTATTTTCATCTGTGTGTTTTAGGATGCAAATTGTGACATGCAAAATGTTCATTGGAATGTTTTTGATTAATTTGAAATTTCAGCAATAATGTTTTCAAGAGATTTGGATCAAAACTGCAATATTTCATATTTATTTTGAAGGTTCTTAGATACATTATTTTAGCAGCATTAGCATTGTGAAGATTTTTGCACCCCGCAGTTAAATTATTAAATTCTTATTATGTGAAACTATTTGAGACGAGTTCTCGAACTTCGTTTTCTTGTTAAGCCATTGCATTAATTTTGAACTAAAATTCATAGTTTTATTTTAGCAAAAATTGAATTTCTATTTTCTTTTCTATTGTCAAGTTAAGGCTATGAGTTACAATAAAAACAGTAGATTTAAAACATGTTTCTAGTTCAATTAATCAATTTTATATTAAATAATTCAAATTTGTTCAAAATTTAAAAAAAGAATTAATTCATTTTTTAACAATTTAGTTCTTTCGAGCAACACCAAGTAAGCACAGTGCAGCTAAAGGTAGACGAATCATATCTATGTGAGGTACTCAAGGATTCCGTACAATATGTGGCTTTCAAAATGAACCTTGTCCCATACAAATTTGAATTCTATTTGTCTATATTTTCTAATCTACTACCTGCTCCTTCATACTCAAAAAGTTTACACTCGTATCATAAAGAATTTTGCGCAAGTTATAAAAAATCTTTCGAATACTTCCTGTGATGCTGCATCTTTAATAAACACCGAACTTATAAAATATTTATTCATATCCACAAAAAAGATGTAAGTTTGTATCATAAACTTTTTTATGACTTTCACTCCTGATTTCTTTGTTTTAATTTTCTTTTATAAAAGATAAATAAATAAATATTTATCTGAAAAACTGTTAAAACTTTAGTATTTACAAAATTATTTTAACACTTTAAATTGTTCTTGCTTCTTTTATTGGCTTGTTTGAGAAATAGCCTCAATAAAAATTTTAAATGTAATGTTGGGCGTCGTTTAAATAAAATGAGAAAATGCAAATTTTTATAAGATTGTCAATTTTAAACGATTGCAATATAAAGTAGCTGTGTTTTGGGATTTTAACCAATAAATTGTAGGATTGTCATGAACCTCTTTAAACTGCTGGGGACCTTAATTTCATTCATTTCTTTCACTATTTCGGTAACTTTTATAATAAATTAATCCAACAGTCAAGTCGCAAACAAACAATAGGTTGACAGATAGTCAAAATCTATTCCAATTTTAGTATATTTCAGATTCTTGTATTGAATTCATGCAGTTTTTGAAAAACTGAAAGGTTCCATCAATTTCTTCAAAACTTTGAAAAATAATCATTTTTGTCAAAAAAGCTGAATTAAAAGTCCGTAGAATCACTCAACTTATGTAGTAGACTTTCAACATTTTTCTATAAAACGTTGATTTAAAAATAAGTTTTCTTTTCTTAATTTGATCAATTTTAATTCTTAGAACCTATCGCTAAAAGGCTTCATCTACCTTAATAATTGTACCTCTAAAAGAATGTATGACTGAAGAGTGCAGAACTAATAAGGTGATCAAAAATGATCAAATGATCAAATGATTTTCATCAATTCCGCACCCTTGGTGTGACTTTAATTCATCTTTACTCTACATAAAAATCTAGAAAATATATTTTCTTTATTTTTAAAAAAACTTATGATTACAAAGTATTCTTGCATTTATAAAACTAGTAAGCAACAATGTTGGTAATGCATAATTTATTAAAAATGAGCCAAGCATACGCTTACATTTTTTACGGACTTGTAAACCTGCTTGTGTATATTTATTTAATCTACTGTTGCTGGAAAACATAAAGTTTGGAATTCATTAACTTTCTTTATTAAAACGTTGATTACACAAGCATGTGGTGTTTAATATGGTACATTAAGCTGTGAAGAACCATTATAATAAGTAATCATTTCATGAGAAAATAACCCAAAACATAAAAGCCTTTTCATTGCATCCTCTTGGCGCCGAGATCGCGGTAGGCAACAAAGTTTTTTTGCTCAACATAAGTGTGAAGGCGTCAGTGATTCGAGTGTAATAACATTTCACGCCGTAATTCTCGCTTATTCTTTTTCTTATTTTTAACCTTTAAGCTGAAATTCATACACGAAATATGATTCAAAAGTGCAAACGAAAATTCTTATGCAAAAGAATTGGAAACAAAGAGCAGTAAGCCACACAATATAAATTTCAGGTTCCTCTCTCACCTCATCTCCTTATGCATAATTTATTATTCATTTCCTTTACTCCCATATCAAATATATCCCCATTCATGTACAAATCTCTATGTGTATACATATCCGAAACTCCCACATGAATAAATAAATTCATTGCTTTATTAAAATCGTTTAAATGGAAGGAATTAAGAAAAAAATAAGAGTCTTTTAAAGTAAACAATTTCAACAATGAGTGAATGCGATGAGAAGGGATTTTTTATGCATTTATTCTCCTACGATGTCTTATTGACCATAAAAGGTTAAAAGTACTCCATGTGTCGACTGTCGGCAATCATTGTTATTTATAAGGAAAGAAACTTTATTAAAATAACTTAAAAGTGAACAAAGAAAAAAAATGAAAACAAAGTTTGAACATACAATAGAAATTGATGCTTGGGCGTGGTGACGCAGGTAAAAGAATTTGTTTTTTTTCTTTCTTGGATTCATTTAAGAAGGAATGAAGAGATAAAGATATATGTGTTTAGATTTTTTTTTCATCCACCATCTATCCATTCATCTTTCATATATATTAATTAAAAATCTCGCTCAGTATGAAGTCTGATTTCTTTATTGTAAGGTGTGTGGCTCTGTTTAAAATAAATTTCAAAATTGAAGCACGCGTCACACATTAAGTAAATCTACTAAAATGAGAAGATGTCTTTGAATAAATTTGAGGATGAAAATAAATTTCAGTGATTGATTAAAGTATTTTTGCGCAGATTGGGATTTCCCGGGAAGGAAATGAAGATTATTTTACTAAGAAATCTCTGATAAATTAAGCTCTTTTCTGAATTATTAATAAAACATTATCATTTTTGCACTTAATTTTCAGGAATTTCATGATTTCATATTTTCATGAATCTGTATATTCATAAAATTTAATACTAGTCATGACTTAAATTAAATAAATATTTAATAATAAGCATTAATCAAAAGAAATGCGATTCCTTTAGTATTACTTGATTTAAGTTGTGCTTAAATTGCAAATTGTATTCGTTATTAGTTTTAATTTTACTTATTTGATGGCTTGCAATGTTTTAGATATGAACAGTCAAGAGGTACAAAAAGGTCTTTTAGTCCATATTGAAATGATGATTACAAAGCGCTAAAGATAATAGCTAAATTAGAACCAAGCGTCTACTACTTGGCAAAGTCAGCTTTTTGAATTCATTTAGAAATAGCTCTAAGAATACTACTTGGTTCTACATATTTGATCTGCCTGACCACCGTGTCGACATCATTCAATTGTGTACAGGTTACAAGAATCTTTTGGTGCCATAAAATGACAATATTATTTGGGGCTGTTGTAGAAAGATTTTCACATACTACGAAAGTGTCGAAAATTATCGTTAAATTTGAATTTATTCTTTAAAAACCCGTTAAACTTTGTTTGGAAAATGTCGCTGGATTTAAATATTTGGTTCTTTTAGGACTGTGTTTCAATTAATAAGCATGTATACTGAGTACCCTGTTTTTTCGTTATAAGCTACTACTCGTTACTAAGCTACTAGCTTAGTAAAGTTTTTTTGAACTTGAAATTTGTTTGTAATCTTTACTAAGCTACTACCAAAAATAAAGTATAATTAATCTTTTTCAACTTTCTAAGTATCAGTTTCAATGCCTTATGACATTGTCAATGAAATAAAATCGAGAAGATAGCAAAATTTCTTTAATTAAGTTAAAAAATTCAAAATTTTCATTGAAGTTCGATTTCTTTACTAAGCTACTACTCGTTACTAAGCTACTAGTGAGCCAAAAAAATCACTTTTTTATTCTTCTAAGCTACTAGCTTATAACGAAAAAACAGGTTAAATTTGAAATTGTGAGACTATATTTAGTATTAATTCAATTAAATAAAGTGTCGACTTTTCTTCGACGCTTTTTGAATCCTTCGACACTCAGTGTCGAAATATTTTGACACTCAGATTTCCATGGTATGGATTTTAATAAATGACTTTAGAAAAATCTTTAACATCCCTAGAATTCTTCGAATCACACCTTAGTTTTAAAGCGCACAGTTTGCAGCTCAATCCTAATAAATCGTTTTTTTATATTTTTTGGAATAATTAAAAATTTCTGATGATTTATAAGACTTAATATTCTGTCATTTAGTAAACAGGTGAATTTAATAAATATTCTTAATTCTCAATTAAAGTAACATAAATGTTAAAGTGAAATGAAGCATGCCTAAAAGTCATTTATAATTATTTTTTTTTTCGTGAAAAATTGAACATAATTTTGTGTTTTAATTTAATCGTTAATTAAAGAGTCATGACTGAATATTATAAATAAAATTCAGATTATGTCAAATTTTTAATTTTATCAAATACGGGTGAACCAATAATTCCTTAGCATACAGTTTGCTTGACAAGCGAATGGACAGCTATAATAATATTTTTTATGCAAGGTTGTAATCTTTGCATAGAGATTATTTGAAGACTATAATCTTCGGGAGGCTTGAATAG